TCCCCGGCGCCGGGGCCGGTCCCTGTGCTCACCTGGCTGCTCAGGGAGTGCGGAAAACGACCTCGACTCCTAGCGAAAGGTCAGACGAGGGCAAGCATCGATCGGAACCTTGCTACGAACAGATCTAGTCGTGAAGGGTGCCACTCTTTACTGGCATCGACGACGCCTGTGCGCCGAACAGGAGTTGAAAAAAACCGCATCTTGATGGTCAAGGCCGTGTCTCTTTTCAAGATGAGGAGCTCCTCTACCCCAGGGCTGAAGCATTCCATGCCCGACGCTTTAAAGGGTTCAACATGTCAGCCCGTCGAGCATCATCGCGATCGTATGCCTGGAAAGCACGGGAGGGCTTGCCGGAAAGGCCAGTGGCCACGGCTATCAAAAAACAGGATGCCCACCTGGGAAAGCCCTTCGAATCGCAACTTTGCAACTTTCACTCCTACCCGGCCTCTTTTGCTGCGTAGGCAGCGTCGTGCTCTACCTCCTCTTCAGCGACCTCCGACAGGTGAAACCAGTACAAGGCCCAAGCACAAGGAGCCAATGTTCTATCAGTCTCTTCGACTTCCGGCGATGATTACAGCCTGCTTTACGGTGGAAGTTCCTACGTCCCTGCCCAGGTGCGAGATGGTTCTACTTACGAGACCAGCGCGCAAGCGAGCCATGCACCCGCCGCGCTACTTTATTCCTCGTGCCTGCCAACACTACTTTCCACATGGCTGCAGAAGAACCGCGCCTGCTCTGAGAAGAAGGGCAGGTGAACCAGCGGGGTATCCTCCCTGGACGCACGGCGGACATGTTTTGATGCTTTCCGTCCGCAGCTCCAGTTGGGGGGGAGGGGGGGGCGTGTCCCGGGTCGGGGGCTGCGAGGCTTCTCAATGACAATTTCGTGTAATTATTAGCCTTTGTTTGCCATGTTAGGCAACATCTGCGCTCCAGGACCCCAACATCCTCCAGATCCGAACCGCCACATCCTCCAGAACGCAACTACAAGGCCGACAAGCCCGTCCCCATGCCGGGCGCGTGGCCAGGAACAGTACCCCGGACCACATCCGTCCCTGCGCAACGCAGGGCAGAATGTGATCTCCTCGGCCTCAGTAATGACAGCGTCTTTCTTCTGACAACTCCTTGGGGTGGCGAGTTCGACCAGTGTTGCCATGTCTTGTTCATGACTTCGGCCACCTGCAGAGCTTCCTGCAGGCAAGCTTATCTTCTAAACTCGACTGCCGCCACTATCGTGTTAACTCGGCCCACTCATCTTGCAGCTGATGCTCAAAACATCTCAAAACCCTCATGACGGCCGTTGCTCTTGAGACTGATGTTTGGGATTCGGGACGTTTGTTTCATGTCCGGCTGCTGTTACGAAGTATACGTATCTACGACGGCTTAGGGAGGACAAGCCCTTACATGGTTTATGCCGTGCTGGGCGCTGCGCCGTCAGTGTCTCAAGCAGCGCTGCAGGATCGCGAATCTGCGATCAAGTCAAGTCTCGCACGTGCTGCACCTGCCCTGCGGTGCGTCCTTATTCTCCTAGATTACCAGCGGCCAACTGCTGCTGAAATGTTGATTATTCGCCAGCCATGGCTCGATAAAGATGATTAGCCACATGACGGACTCTGAAGCAATCTGCAGCCGAGGTTGGCTGGCAGGATATCAAAACCTGCAATAAGGCAGCTATGCTCGGCTGGCAGATAGGTGCCTTGTTTCGACTCAGCCGCAGCCACAGTGGAACAAGGTGCAGGCCTGCCCAAACAGCATTCAAACGCATTTGCTCCGGCTTTGGCCACGAGCATTCTTTGGCTACATGCAGCGCGACCAGACATGAAGGGAACCCCGAACGGGCACCAGTCTGATTGCAGGACACCTGGCCTTCATATCCGTGAATCTCCCTCTTCGGTGGGTACCTGTGGATGCAGGTTTGATCTTGTGTACCTGCTCTCAGACCATCAGAATCAGCACGTTATCGCTCTTCTTAGAAGGTTTGTCGTGTGAAGCATCTGCAGGGGAGTAACGAGTAACGATCATCTGGTACTTGCTGTGGAGCTGTGCCAGCTGGGCAACAGGCTTCTTGGCCAGCCAAGCCCCATGCATCCTATCAGTATAGCACGCCTGACGTACTGTCAGCCTACAACAATCAATATGGCACCCTGCCAATTCATGTTCGAAGCACGGCTAAGTCATTCCGAGTGTTACAGGTAGGAGTCGCGGATCACAAACCAACACTCGCGACTTTACACACCGCTGGTAGCACTCGTTCATATGCGCGGGTTATACGGCGCGGCAAAGCTGCACTTCATCAACAGCCTTACGGCCTTACGGGCTGTGACTGGCCGCTCACTGACCTGGCGTTCAGTGCAGGCACCTGTGCTTCAGCTCCTTCAGCGTCCGGAACAACTCCAACGCTGATGCATCATCGATCTGATGAGACAGGAGGGTACCGTTGGCTTGTTCTGCAGCTCGACGCATTTACCCGAGAAGCCGTGTTCAATCCAAGCCCAGCTAAATTTGATGGCAGCTGCAAGCCGGCGATTACCTGGCTTTCGTGTAGAAATGTCCGTGGCGTTGCTGAAGGTTAAACATCCAAAACAATCATGACAGTCTGGGTGTTTCCTGAACTCTCCGGACAGGAGCCTATTACTTGAATGCCTGACAGGACACGTCAAGTGTTTTAGCATTTTCGCTCCCTTGCGAGTCGCCTCATTCTGCGACAAGTGCAGCTCATAGATCTGGCCGGCGCCTCGATTTGCGGCGTCGCAGTTATGTGCCGATTCTCGCACACGCTCGGTGTAAGGAACGATGTGCGGCATGGTGAAATGAATCAGTGGGTTTTCATGACAAGGGCAACGACTATGCATCCCAAGCCAGCTGCGCTTGTTGTTCCGAATGAACTCACCTGTCGCGATAGGCTTGGCCCTCATCTGCAACTGAGACTTCGAAGACTAGATGCTTTCAGCCGGGCCGCTACTACAACGCAAGCGTGGCAGAAGCACAAAGCGCCAACATCCCGGCCCCTGAAATCCTGAATTGCACCGCCACGCTCGCAACAGCAGGAAAGGCCGGCTGGTGCCGAACCCCAACACCCAGGTACGACACAAAGTGAAAGCTGCAGAGGTTTCTTGTTGTCCTGTTGTTGTTGAGCTTGAGGTAGCTGGCCTGCACCTGCCAAGTGCATTTCGGAGCCAAGAAACATCTCGACTGGAACCGCCGCTCCACAGCCAGCCTCAAACTGAGTTAGGCAATCCAACAGCATCCACAGCGCTCGGTCGCTCATGTCGTTCTGGCTGAAGTCCACCTTCCAGTCCGAAGACGCGCTGGCGAATGCCACTTGCAGTCGCAGCCCCTCACCGGACGCAGCCTCTTTTCCGGATGCCGGTGGTCGGTGGTGGTCGGTGGATCGGCACGGCTGGCCGAGGCCAGATCGATCTTCTTGAGACCAAGACACGTCTAACCCTAAATAACTAGAGTGTGACGGTTGAATGACTTGGATTGCAGGATTCGGGGTTGATGGTTACAGGACCCATGGCCTTGTGTCACCAGCTCTGACTCTCACAGCTCGGGTGCTCTGTTGGAAACATGCAAGACCTGACTCGTTGAATGAGGGCGTCGATTCAAAAAGCAGGCCCATTCCAATACTCCAGGTGCGAAGAGTCTCAACTGATCTCGGATCCAGCTAAACTCAGACAGTCACGTGATAGAACAGCATGCCCTGGTGACACTGAAACCTCAGGGGCATCATCACTAGCATAGGGGGGCAACCTGAAAATCGAAGAGCACGAGCATCAGAGTCAGAGTCCGGACAGCGCTTCCGAATTACTACTCTTCGAGACTTCAGCACTCCCAAAGCGGAGTGGGGACACAGCAGGCAATCTTTTCTGTCCAGACTCTGCACCTTCAAAGTCTTTTTTTTGGGGGAGGGGCTGTGCTCTAAAGGGAATCAATGCGAAGACTTCGGTGGCAGGCAGAGTCTAACAGGCTACTGTAATGATACGCGCTGCTGTCCACTTTGTTCACGATCCAGGCAGTGGCAACGTTAAGGACAAAACTATGGGTGAAGTGATGCTACGAGTAAAAGTCGGAGCCAGCTTAGCAGTGGCTGTTGCTCCACTCCACTCAAGCCATCAGCAGAACGACCAGTTCAAATCTTAAGTGCCAGCTGATCGTGCAGACTGCCCTTGCCAAGCGAAGCTGCTTTTGAAGAGCTTCACACTGTCGCCCCTCCCCGGGGCGCTGAGAACCGAGGGACGGCTCCAAAAAGTGAATCCTCAGATTCTGTCCCACTCCCCGAGCCAGGCAGTCATGGTCGCTGCTTAGAGAGCCGCCGCCGCTTGGCGCTTCTGGAGGTGTCAAGGCTGTCCTTGCATGGGTCACGAGTCCAGGTCTGTTCACTAGGCACTTCGTCCATGCCGACCCAGTGTCTCTGAAGCTTCTTAGTTCACCACCAGCTGAGTACGCGTGCCTATTTAGGCCCGAAGTGCAACTGTGCCGGAATTCCTGTCCAAGTGGCCACAACGGCCCGGAAGGAGAGGCGGTGCTTGCGGCCTGCTTTTGCGGAAACCTAAGACAGAGACCGGCAAAAGCTGGCCTTCCGACGAGCTTACCGCTAGGACAGGTCCGTCTGGGCCAAAGTATAAATTCGATTCCATGCGCATGCGAAGCATAAGAGCTGCCTGAGTTTACCAGCTTCCTAGGCGCAGTTGATGGTGTCACGTTCTGCATGGAAAATGTATATTCCCGACTTGTGACTTCGTCGATCCGAACGAGGCGTCCAGCCTTCTCCAAGATCTCCTGACACTCAGTATGAGCAGGAACGAATTTAAACTTACTCAGAAGCCACGACACAATTTTCATACCCTGTCCGCCTGAGCACTTGTATGCACTGCTTCGGACGTGCCGCTATGCCGATAAGCAATAGCAGCCACTCGAGCAAGTTAAGCCGCTTCAAAATACGTCTGCCACAACCAAGGCTGGACAACTACCGGAAAGACAACATGAGCGAATCAGATGTATCATCGGCCCCGATTCGGATACACTACGGGCACGTGATACATACAGCTTTTATTAGAGCTGCTACCGCTTTCTGGCTCCTCTGTGGTGCCCGCATCGTTCGCCTCACCCAATAAGCCACGATCGAGCTGAGTGAAAGTGTCCGTCTCCTGTCCGTGTGGTGGGTGGGTTTCCGCTCAGGCTTGCAAGCGAGTCGCACTTTTGACTGCATGCATGGCACAGGGTTCTGCTCAAAGACTTGCCGGAACAAGGCAGCGCGAAGCGGATAAAGCTTGACCCAAAGCCGACAACATGTTCCCCAGTCTTCTGCGGTTTTCGTCGACATGGGTCCTCGTCCGACCGGGCCATCAGCCGATTCATCTCCGCCAAGCTGCTGGCACGCTGGCCGCTCCCAGCCTTGCTCGTCTGACGTGCCTGTACGTGGGAAGTTCGGGAGACTGTCTGCGCTGGCCACTAACATCCACTCCTGGAAGGAATGCTCTTCAGTCAACGTCTCGTGACGCGGAGCGGATGTATCATTCTGTTCCTTTATGCTTAGCATAGCACGGAACAGCCTGCCCATCCGTAGGACATGCAAACGGCAGCATTAGACTCGGCCAGCATCCTTCCATCCGAAGCAGTATCCCCAAATCAAGAAAAAGGCACGACAGCCTCCTTCACCAACTGCATGAGCAGCGACTTGGACATCTCAGCAGAGGAGTCAGAGAAGTGTCCGGCCCGGATGATCTGGAGCAGCTGAGACTCGTTGACTTCCGGTGCCGTAACTTTCTGAACGGGTGTTTCGAGGTTGGGTGGATTCCGAAACCAAGTTCCTTGTGCATGGGCATCGCTAGAAAAGTCAGCCCCCTCCCGCCCCCCGCCCCCCCCCCCCCACCCTGTCATCTCTCCCCAACTGCACTGCGGACCTTCTTCTCCATCTGCAGCTTCCTGGTGCTTCGCTCCAAGAGACCCCGGTCCATGGCCGTGGGCGTCATGAGGCGCACAGCCTGCTCGCTTCATAACCTAGTTTCACTAGCATACCCAAAAACTGAAGCAAAGGAGCTTCACAAGCCTCCTTGGGATGATCCGTCATGTTCCACCATAGTAAACGCTCTTGGAGCTTTGCGGCCATGGCACGAGCACAGGCCGCGTCTGGCCAATCCGATGAGCACGATCGCAGGCTTGAAGGTCCTAGCATGCAAGACGGCTGCAATGATTCCCCGGCCTTCCGACAGAATGCCTAAACTAAAACAGCCACGGACTCGAACCCTGAAGACTGGAGAGGGCTGTGACGACCAGGCTCGGACTGCGGATTCCAGTCGCTGTCGAACAGGATGACAGTGTCCGCAGCTTGCAAGTTCCTCAGATAGGCTTTTTGTGCACAGGTAGGTTGGCTGCCAACGCAGGTCGTTCAGGCATAGATTCAGCTCAGCACTCAGAGGCTCGGTTGCTTCTACTGGCTAGAAGTGTTTCGCTGAGCGGGCGTTTTCCTCGCAACAAGAATGAAGTTCGAAAGGGCCATGCATCAGGGTGGCCCGTCACAGCCTTGCTCCGGACATACTATGGCATCATAGTCGTGGCCGTACAGATGAAGCTGTTGCAGCCAAATGCTTGCAGATCTCCAGCGACTACCAACAAGTGGGCGACAAATACTGTAACCACCTGCAGCTTAGGCTCAGGCCCAAGCCACCAGCTTTCGTTGTCAGCAGCATGACAGTGATCGAGGCATCGCGCCTGAAATTGCTAATGGCCTCTGCACGCTTCGTCGAGGGCGTGGACCCGTCGATGCGCGAGAAGTTAAGGCCTCATTTCTACCATGGAGATCTTGTGGAAACACATGACTTCTTTCGCACGGACTCATGTCAATTGAACGGGTCCTGGACCCTATTGGGAAACACACGTCGGGTGGCTCATGTGTGAGATTTGCTAATTGCGATTCCCTTCTTAGCTGCATGAGGCCTCAGCTTCTACTCACTCAGAAATGAAAAGAGGGAGCAACCTAAGCCGAGAGGCCCTGGTGCTCCAACAGCCTCTGAAGGAAGTCCAGGGAGGTCCGCATCTGCGCAAAGATAAGAATCTTGTGACCCAGCTTCACCAGCCTCAGGGAGCTTTGCCAGCTCTGACTGATCTCTGGGAAACAAGTGAAGCACGTCGGGCTGTCTGCCCGTGCGGCGACATTCGTCTACGAATCAATACGCAGGGTTGAAGTGTTGTTTTGGTCCCCCCCCCTCCCCCCAAAGTCCTCGGCAGGAACCGGTCCAAGAACTCAAGCTTGCCCGAAGCCCGAATCAGCTCCTCTGCGGGAGTTCTACTTTTGCAGGAATTCGACGAATGTGCCTGTGGCTTACAGGGAGAGAAGGATTGGAATCTCCTCGACAGGCCGCCCAGACGCAGCCTTCTTGCCTTGTGGAGGATTGTGGCTAAGGCTTTTGGAAGGCTCGAAAACGCTACATAGCGCGATGCCCTGGCCCTGGCCCTTCCTGACAGTCCATCCGTTTTAGACTTTAGACTGTCGCCTCTCTCAGAGCACAAGATGCCTCGAGACTCGGGCAAGCCTCTCAATGTCGGATGCAGTCGCTTCAGATGTCCCATGGTCTCATGGACGCTGCCCGAACTCATGGACTCCCTCCACCAGACTTCAGCCTCCAAGTCTGTCAGCCAAGCGGCTCAGGTAGTGGTAAGGATGATTTACAGCCTTTCGCAAGGCCATTCCCGACATGGCATTGGCGGACACGCCGCCCGAACTCGATTTTGCCGGGCCTGCCGATTGAAGTGGTGTTTTTGGGGGGCCAGCTGAGATCTATGCCCTAACTCTCCACACAAAGCATCGCGAGACAGACAAACAATTGCAGACAAAGCTATAAACAAACACATGGACGCAATCTATACAGCATCACGGAGGCACTCAGTTTCAGCATGGCTCTGCCGTCCTATCTGTCACGCAGCCTGCCACACGCTGGATTGTGCGGAGGCCCTTCCGATACAACACCTGGGCACAAAGAGTACAAAGCACCATCAACTCCTTCACAGAAAGATTCGATGTAGCTCCTAGAACAGCGGCTAGAGTGATGTGGACTGGCTGGAAGACGTACAGCAAGTAAGTCGGTCTTTTCACGGCAGATGCGCTCCCACGTGCCCGAAAGTGCTGGCCTTACAACCCAACGTGTCGCGTTTCCCCGCCTTCTGCCAAGACGACAGTGGAACCCAAATCACTGCCTCTGTCTTGGGTGGAAGGTCCTTTGCGCGGAAACGCTGCGAGGATGTGCTTAATTAGCACCTAAACAAAGGTGGAAGGTTTCGGGGTCTTTCCATAGCCAAAACTCCAAGGCGGCCCCGACCCTCGGGTTCTTCGGAGCAAAACAAGACATGACAATCAAAGCTTGAGGCTCCGTGAGGACCTGTTCCTTCGTCCTCCTGAGGAGGAACGGGCGAAGCACCTTGTGCAGGCGCTGGATGATCAGCAGCTCCTCCTGAAGATGCCCCAAGCTTTCCAAACTTCACGATTGGCTGCAGCCTTTGATTCGGAGATACAAACTTTCTCATGGAATTGGCCCAATTGGTCTGCAGTACTGTCAGGCTGCTGCACCTTCAGCTCTCAGTCTCAAGCAGCGAGTACGTACTTTACAATTGCTAACCCGTGCCACACTACGTAACGATGCACGATGCGCTCAGGTTGCGCAAATGCCGGGTCCGATCGGCAACATCAGCATCATCAGCTTCATCATCACCATCCTTCACCATCCATAATCATCATCCGACGGGGCAGAGTGCAACGAAATGTCTTGAATCAATCCAGGCACTCAGCCGTCCTTCTCGGCTCCCTGAATTCTGCTGGCTTCGTCTTCAGCAGTTTCCTTCACGGACGAACCCTTTGCTCCCTACGCCCGCGCACTCCTCTTCAGAGAGCAACTGGCTCATCTCGGCCTCCTCAGCCTCTTGGGCTCCCAGGCGGACCTGAGACAGGGACTTCCCCTGGCGGCCGTAAGCGGGGCTTACTGCAAAAGACACAACAGCTACACTAGCTACACCACCACCAACAACAACAGTTACTATAGCAACACCAAGAACAACAATATAGGCAACAAACGCAAAACATCACCACCACCGCAACAGCAACGACGCCGACAACAACGACGAACCGCCAACAACCAACCACCAATAACAACAAACACATGTTATCACTCCGAGCATGCCCACCCTTTCCCCAAGATTTTTGGGCGGCCCTGTGCAAAGCTCTTGCACGTCCCTGTACTCACTGTGAGTAGGAAAAGAAAGCGGGGACCTGAGGAGCTTCTTGCACGTTGGCACCCCACTAGCTGTCACTAGCTTGTTCCAGACTGGACCGTTTACTGCCGGCCTGTGAAGTTGCAAGAAGGCGTCAGGAAAAGCAGGGAAAGGAGTAGCTGGGGCCTGTGGGGTATGGCTGAGCCAATGCCACGCCAGTTCGGCGCATTGCTCAACCCAGTCGAGTCTTCTACGGCCCGGTTTAATCCCTGACTTTACATTGCCACCCCTGTAAACAGAAGCCTTCTGTCCCCAAGTAGAGCGGAAAACAGCTTGCACTTCGGTTTGGAGCTTCGAACATCCTCAACCCTAAGCCGCAAACCCTCAACCGCAAAACAACAACCATGAACCCCCAAGCCCACAACGCCGCTCGAGATATCAGTACAGAAAATCATACACGCGTCTCAGCACAGAACTTGCTTTGTTATGATTATGATGGCTCTGGCTCTCTTCTTGACCGCGCATTTCTATCCTGAACGACTCGCCGGAGATAAAGCAATCGCCCGTGGAACTTGCCCTGTGTATGTTCCTATGCCGGAATTCGCATTTCGGTGCTGAAGGACTCGCCGGAAATACAAGGTCTAGAAAATGCACGCTTCAGTATCGGGTATCTGAGAGCTCCATTGGCGCCTACGGGTGCCCAGAGAATATGTCTTCGGTGCACTCAGAGGCCTGAGACCTCCACCAGCTGCTATTCGTGCGCGGAGAACTGTTTTGATCTCTTCTTGCATCCGGCTATCTGTCCTCGAATCTACCCTCTGATCACATCCTGCCATCCGGCGGGCGGGGACTCTGGACTGCAGCCCCATTGAGGGGGGAACAACAGACAGCAACTGACATCAACAAACCACAACTCACAACAACAACCACAACCATAACCGGACCACAACCACAACGACTGCAACAGCAGCGTAGCAGCAATAGCAATAGCCACAGCAGCAGCAACAACAGCAGCAGCAACAACAACAACAGCAACAGCAACACAACGGCAGCCACATTGCTGCTGCGACTCCTGCCGCCTCTCCTACCACTATCAGTACCAGTACCTCCACATGCCACCACGACCAGGAGGAATAGTCACAATCCACATCAGCATCAGCATCACCAATAGGAACCAACAGCTTTGTTGGTAGTAGCTCGGCGTATTACGTCCGCCATCGTACTCCCGTTCGTAGCGACAGTGACCAAACACCGCTGAAGCAATTACCAGACCGTTTCCCGGCTGGCTTTGAAAACGTCGACTGAACTTCAACCAATTTGCAGACGGCGGGGGCGGCAAAGCAAACCACTGCTCAAAGTTCTCCAGCGAGTTGAAGGCGCCGGGAGCCACGAAGGACAAGAGGCTCCACAGTTCTCCTGCAGCAACGATATCACAGGGTTTAGGGTTCAGCATGCCCTCGTTTCCATGATGCGAAACCACCTCAAGCCAAGCTAGCAACTTTCAAGCACGGTTTCTGCTGCAGCTCGACTGTTTCAAACTGGCGGTCGCAAAGTTGCAACGTCGGAACTGGGACAAGATCTTGCAATGTATCAGTAGTCCATAGCGGCTCCAGCTGGAAGCCCACCCTCTATTCCATGGATTTCCGACCGAAAGTGCCATGCTGGTGTTTGGTCAGTTAGGTGAGAGATCTCGTCTCGTTTGTCTGTTGTAGGTTGCAACAGCGGATGCAGGTCTGTACGCTTTTCCACCGGAGGAAACAGACGCGTGCAAATATGGAGCTTAGTGGCTTAGTGCAGGCAATGCTAACAAAAAAACATGCCTGCCCACCACAGCAGCTTCCGGGTTTAGTTAGTCTGGGCGTTGCAGGCCAGGCTCGAAGTGAGTTCTGGATCGGCGTTCCAGTCAAAAGCAAGCGGTGCTGACAGGGCAGGCGCCTGCATAGTTGCAGTCGAGTCGTCGTAGTTAAAGCCGCTTAACAGCCGCTTAAAGCCTAAGAACTCGGAGGGGAGACATGCCATGAGTAGTTGCACGGAGCTGTATGATGTAGATGCGATTGTCGAATCATGTTCTCTGCCATGCCACCCGACATTACTTTGACACCGTACCGTTGCTCTCGAAACCTTTACGTGCTGGTTCCGAAGTTCCAAACTGAATGCACCGGCACCTCACCGCCTGGCTGCTGCGAGCTTGGAAGTTCTTGATGCCTTGGACGGATAAACGGGATGATGGTGCTAGCCTGCAACGATCCAGTCGCGAGAGCGCCGGTTGCTTGCAGGAAGACTGTGCAAAGGCAGAATCAAATACAGAACGTGAAAGGTGTTTCTGGGGCAGGCCACGCCAAGTGCCGCCAGGCCACGATGCCCCTCGTCCACTACCACGCAATACCAAGGATAGTGGCCCAGGAATGTGAAGCGGCTTGCCACAGTCTCATAGGTAGTGAGAACCAGGTTGATGTTGGTATTTTGGTCTGGCGACATAATGGCCTTCTCGGCAGCAGATAGGTTCCGCTCACTGCCACGGTAGACAAGGTAGCGGAAGCCTTGCAAATCCAGGTGAATCTTCACTGCCCGATCCGACTTAGGCTGAAGAGACATATCAAGCGGCAATCGGATGCCGCAAAGCTGAGGCCGTGGCTTGGGACCCACTGTATGATCTCGTCAACCCAGTTTTGGAGAGTGCTCAGTGGCGCCACCACCAAGTGTGGTCCTGGCCAGGGCTTTTTGGATTGTAGCTTGCATGCTGGTCCGGGGTCTGGAGAGTCTTGGCGAGTGTGATGAAGAGTCTGCCAGATATGAACTTACCTAGTTAATTAAGCCTTGGCTGCCGTGGTTTTGACTTTCAGGGATGAGGATTCGCTGAGGCTCTAAGGTGCAGCGGGGCAAGCAAGTGAAGTCGACAAGACACATGCCCATGTTGCCTGCACCTGCGTGTAAACGAACCCCGGCTCTAGCCAGTCCTTGCTGATCGCGGCTGTCGGCCAGAAACGCGAGTAGCGAAAGCGATTGAACCTCACCAGAGTGTATCGAACCCCCTAGCCTCTTGACTTCAGCATGAGGCATTTGATGCATTTGCTTTTTGTTTGAATTTCCTGCGCTGGAAAGCGCATTTGTCGTGTTGGACTCACGTAGCCAGCTTCTGAGGTGTCGGGCTTTCCATTGCTTGCGTTTGGAGGTGGTCCTGAAACGCAGGTTGCTTGAAGCAATATCAAAGGGCCAACCTCAGGCTTAAATTGAGCCTACAGCAAAAAGATCGACTCATTCAAGGGGCAGTTTTTCCCAGGCCCATGTCATCTGCCAGGATGCCGCTCATCCGATGATCCACCAACCTGCAGCAACCCGCTCAGGGCTCGACTCGCGCCCTGCTGGTGCGAAATCGAGCATTTTTTGTGAGACCTCTTTTGTTCGGAGCGAGCTGTGATCTTGAGAAAGCTCTGTGACTTTTTGGAGGTTCCCTGCACCCACAGCTCCCTGCACCCACAGCCTTGCCAACCAGCGCAGTCCAGCCAGCTGATGGGGCATCAATTGCCCATGCCTGGAAGCTTGACGATGGCAATTGATGTGCATGCAGGCCTCTTTGACTCTCACCTCATGCACCACGAGACCGCGGAGGTGACCATGCTTCGTTCGGTTGAATGGCGTGGCTCACTCCGGGAATGCAACTCTCTTGCGCACGCGTGCTGTGCAGGAAACTTTTACCGGTCACAGCATTCATTCAAGAGCAGCAAACACTCAGGAACCACTCTACGAGGCCAGTCAAGCTGCTGCAGGGACCGTGGCTGTCCGACCTTCTCGTCCGACCTTGACTGGGGACACCCAGCCGCAAAGTCGCGTGACCAGGCTTTGAGTGCACGGTGCCGGATAACGACGGATGCTGCAAATACAAGAGTCGCGACGGCAACAAACCCGTAGCGATCCCAACATGCTAACAAATGAGAAGCATGGAGCAACCAGCGGCCCCGTACCACTACTTCTACCAACACTACCACAACCACTACTGCTGCTGCTGCTGCTGCTGCTGCTACAGCTACTACTACTACTACTACTACTACTACTACTGCTACTAACTGCTACTACTGCTACTACTGCTACTACTCCTGCTGCTGCTGCTGCTACTACTACTACTACTACTACTACTAGTACTACTAGTACTACTAGTCCTACTAGTACTACTAGTACTACTAGTACTACTAGTACTATTAGTACTATTAGTACTGCTAGTACTGCTAGTACTGCTAGTACTGCTACTACTGCTACTCCTGCTGCTGCTACTACTACTACTACTACTCCTGCTGCTACTACTACTACTGCTACTACTACTACTACTACTACTACTACTACTACAAGCACCAGCACTACCGTTACAGCTAGCACTGC